GAACAGTGTTTAAAACAGATAAATGCTGTCTTTTAAATGACAAAAATACAAGCTAATTACACATTGCATTCCCAGATATAACTAGTTTCATACAAGCTCTTGGAATCCACATTTACTTGAAGCAGTAACCACTGTAACATCCAAAATTTCCCTGGACCCTTGTGTTCAGCGACACCATAAATGTATACTCTCTCAAACAGGTTAACAGGCTTTAAATGAGCTTTAAGAGGGGGTTTTTTGACCAATAATTTTTTAGAAACAGTAACAATAAAAGCAGGAAAAACCTAATTCTTAAAAGGAAGCTTTTTCCCTCTCTGGGAGCAATGGAATGGGTCCCCAGAGCTTACTTCTTCCTGAGAAAACAGTTCATGAATAATCAATGTATAGCTCAAGTCCTCAATAAGCACCAAGCCTTCAAACGCACCCCATATCCAGCAGCCTCTATGACTTTGGCCTTTAAACTGTACCACTTTTTTGCCTTGCCCTCCCCTGGTTTCCCAAGCTTCCTTTATTTCTGTTCTTCCCAGCACTAAGGTAGGTATGCAGAAGCAAAATGCAAGCAGTGGGAGCAAGCTGGGGCTAATTTGCACCTTATGAATTATTCAGGCCCTCCTGATTCCTGCACCTGCACCGAGGCAGGAAGCATGTGAGGAGCAGTCATTACTCTGCTCCTGGGTTTGCAGGAGCTGGGCTGACACTTTGTTCTGTAACTGAGGGCTCCAGGTCTTGTATTAAGCAGTGGAAGCAGGGAAAATAAAATTAAAGAAAATAACCTTGCGTTGTCAACCCCCCCCAACTCTGCTGCCCCCAGACCCAGGATAATCATTCAACCCCTTCTCAGAGAAAGGAATTGTAGTCTGTATCAGACTGCTGGATTCATCTCACATATGCTAATCTGGATCAGAGCATTAGCAGAGGAAAAAAACCCCAAATGTGTACATGAGCTGGTCTTGTCAGATATTTACTCAGCTGTATTAGACCATGCGTTTAAACTTCTCCCGAGCTCAGCAGGGAGTATTTCACATGCATCAAGTATTTCACATGCTAACCTGATCATGAAGGCATCCTTCTCCGCAGATACAGCACCAATAAATTTTCTCTCTGGCATTCTGGCTAACACCACGGGTACTAACAGTTTAATACTACGGGAAGAGCCTGTATCGTGCTTTCAACAGGATGGATTTAACGAGCAAATAGGTCTTTTCCATCTTCATCTGCTATTATCGTGGTAAACAGAACGTGACACCTAACTGCAAATCCAGATTTGACCCATGAATCCAGACAGGCATTAGGAGCATTTGCAGGGAGCAGATACAACCCAATTAGCACTATGAACATTTTAAGATAACGGTATTTTTTTGAGTTAACATGCTAAGGCAAACAGATCTCAAATGTTATGCAAATTCAAAGCAGCAAACACCATCCTCACTGTATCACCCATCCACAGCTGCACTGAATATCTTTGGGTCTCGTCCTTTATTAACATGCCATCACCAGCAAGTTCTCCAGTTAAAAGATGGTCTCATTAATCCCAAGCAGCTCAGCATCTCGCTTTGATTGATTCAGCAGAACAGATCTGCGGCCGCTGATAATGAAACCTCTTTAATCCCCTCTTCCAAAATAACGAGTCAAATGCTAGTGTTAAGCATTCAGAAAGGTACAGTCAATCCTTATCAAATCTTTGCTCTTCCTCTTTCTATGCCTAAAGAAGTTAATTCATTTTCCGTTCGGTGCAGAATGCATGACTGGTCCTATGCTGCTCTTATCTCATTTCTATCCAGTAATAGGTACTCTGCTCTTTTTAAAGTATTTTAATCGGGCGTGTAAACATGTTTTATTCTTTGATGCTCTCTCATTCAGCATCATTAATCCCCAGCACGAAATCAATAGACTTAAAACATTTAATCACGTCAAAATGCAACATACAAATCCACAAATGACTTCAGCTCATCACACTTGCTGAATGGCTTCCAAGTTGGAAACTACGCTTCTGTTTTGCCTTGGGAATCAGCGAACCCTAAGCTACCCTTTCATTGAAGTAAACAGATTCTCTCTCCAAGTATCTGCAATTAGGCAAAAAAAGATGTTGATAAACAAAACATGGGATTTTCTGGTTGCTCCATCATCTTTTCTCGTCCCTTGCGGTCACATCGGCCTTATCAGAAATACTTACACTTGTTTTACCGCAACCTCCTGACAGTACGCATGCTTTAAAAAGTTTAAAAACAATTACAGTAACTCGGTTACAGAATGTACTGGAGGTGCAAGGGAAAGGAAAAACATCTTTGCAGTTGTTTATTTTCCTTTTATAACAGCACACATTGTTTCTCTGCTTGAAAAGAATGCATAAGGGACAACGATCATAGCTGCTTCTTAAAAAAACAAAAAAGATGGTAATTTGCTCTACTTTATGTATGATTTCCAAAGCCACTGGGATACAGAAAGTGACAAAAAAATCTCTTTAATGGGGCAGAAACTGTAGCTGAGATGTAAAAAACTAAGGACAGTCAGATCCATCCATTGCTAGGCAAAAGGGCAGAAACAGGCAAACAGGGAAAATGACTACTCTAGGTAATAGAATAGCATCTTTAATTCTACCACATTAAAAAGCACTGAAAAAGTGCCCATTTGAAAGGCGAAAATATAGTCTGGAGAGTGAAATACATGCAAGAGTGTGGACACTGGCATGCTGAAACCCTGATTTAGGAGCAGGGCACCAAAAAGCTGTTCTAGGTCCATGACTGCATTCCCACCCAGCGTCCTACCCAGCACGTCCCTAAACCCGTGAGGTCCTTCATGGTTAAGCTGGAGCTTCTTCAGGCACCTACACCACAAGGCAGACGTTCACACAATGCTCTTGCTGGAGGTGCCCATCCTGACCTTCACCTGTGTCTTGTGAAGAAGCTCACAAAAGGCAGGTAGGGTTTTGGTTGCAGTGGCACTGGCAGTCTGTTGTCTTGTAGCCTTATGGTCAAGTGATTTGTGCAGGGAGGGAGGGACTTCTATTGCAGGACCTTCTCAGACAGAAGGATTGATTCAGCATCTCCCCCATCCCAGGAATAACCCAGCCATAAGGATCTGGAGGTCTCCTGCATGAGTGTCTGTGGAAGTAAGGCTACCCTGACACCAGGAATGCAAGAACCACGAGGCTGAAAGTTGAGGTAGAGAAGGGTGATCCTGGCTCCGTGCTAGAAATCTGGACACTCAGCTCCAAGAGGGAAATAAATGTTGGAAGCTTCATTTCAGTATCCACAACTGTTTGAGTCCTAATGTTGCTCCAAGAAATGAAGCCTACAGCCTCAGTCCTGTCCACACTCAGGTAGCATTCAGGGTCGTCTCATCCCATGACTTCTGTGCTCCTGTCTATGTCATGGCCCATATTCAGTAAGGGAGACAAGATACCCCACTGCTCCCCAAGTATCTCATCCAATTAGGCCTTTGCCAAGGATCCTGATGATTAAAACACCTCTGCGTTGTTTATGCTAAGAACCTAAAAGTAACTTAACATATAGGGGGACTAATTTAACTAACCCTAACATACAGGTGGGAGTTTATGTCCAGGTGAGGCACAAGTGCTATTTGCTCAAGTGTTAAAAAAACTTTGTGAGTGTGTAACACAGAAACCCATGCCTCCAGTGGAGCACACCATACTCTCACTACAGCTGAGTGAGGGAATGAAAATTTCATAGCAGGTATGACTAATCCATGCTTTACATATTCGGAGTCCTGATTTTGCAGTTTTTCCCGCTGAAAGTAATGTCTCTGCACTGAGCTGTATGGAGGAAAAGGCGTAGATGAGGGAATAACTTCAAATGCTTTGGCTATCCTAGATGCATTCATTTTTCATTACCTCATTTATGGAAAAAAACTCAAACAAAAACCCGAGGTAAAACTGAAGTATGTAATGAGGACATTCCAAATCAGGCAAAGAGAAGATCAAGCATTTTCTTCTGGCAGTGCTCTTAATTATTACCAGTAACGTCCTATTTATTATCATCATCATTACTCTTTACTCTTTTTTTCTTTAAAAATGGTCCAGACTGTCTCCCCAAATTAGTATTTTTTTTCTGTTTGACAGAGGCTAGATTCATTCGCAGTTGAAAGCAATCAAAGTTTGGACATAAGAAATAAATTTTTTAAAAGCCTGTGCTCTGTAGCTACAATTTGGTTCCAGAGATGAATTGCAAGTGCAGACTTGGGCCTCACATTCTTACTGACTGAATGGGAACCCTAACAAGTGAAACACTGCACTCTCCAATGCTTATTATCTTTTTGAGCTGCTGACAAATGAGAACGACTGTTTCGAGTTAAGTCTTAGAAACGGCAGGGATAAAACAGAACAGTGCAAATGTTTTGTCTTTGAATAGCAGAGAGTCAAAGCAAACTAAGGTGAAAATGGTGTCCGGCCGGGTAATTCGGATCAGAAAAGGCATCCAAATCCATAGCAGCCTGACCCTAACACAGCCCCTGAGATGGTGCTACAACTGCCAGCTCTCCAAGAAGCCAGCAAAGGTGCAAGCCATGAACCCTCAAGCCAATGTAAGGAGAGCTATATTCCAGAATTTGGCATCTGAGTCCTCCAGCTGTCAAACATCTCCCATCTGGCCAACCCTGCGGATTGAGGTGTTAAAAAGACAAACAGAGGTAAAGTCCACAAGAGTAAGAGCAGCACCATTTGCGAGGCACCAAGGATGAAGAGGCACATTGTGCCCGCCAACATCTGAAACTCGCACATAAAATCACTTTGACACTGGTGAAGTGTGGCTCAGGGCACCTCTGGATCAGGGGGGATAACATGGACAAAACTGTCAGCATTTTACAGGAAAAGAACAGTTGGACATCTATGAACTGGAGCAACAGCCCCAGCCTGTGGCTATCCATGGAGGTCATGAAGAACATCTATGTGGGATCGGTTCTGAGTAAAACTTATGGCCTTTAGTAGACTTCATGAGACAAATAAACATGGGGAAAGCAGTCTAAACAAAATGTTTCTTCAAGACTTTGTGGTCCATTCTGTTCCCCCACCGCCACAAAGAAAATCAAGTATCTAAGAATGCTTCTGCACTTTCATAACTACAGCACCATAATTTCGAGTGTAATTTTATGAAAGAATAACTTTCTTGAAATTTAGTGGGAAAATATAACTTTAGCAACACAAAACTAAACAAAGAAAATAAACCAAATTAAAAAATGGGCATGCATGAAAATTTATTCAAATTAAATCTACACACTCACATAGTTTTTAATTGTATTTAATTGTAGCAGAGTTTACTTCTGAGAAGCAGCTACTGTTCCTAAACTGCAACAGCGCCGTACTCCAAGAATCAAGAGCAGCTGTGATGAACGCTCCTAGCAGTGTGAACAGCTCTAAGTGCACCGTCAGAATCCATACTCTCAAATGATAGACACTGACCTAAGCAGCTCATCTCACCGGCCTTCTTTCCACCTTTCACTCCACAGACAGGTCCACGTGGCCTAAATGAGGTTTGACAGATGTGACTTTCTCGAACAATTTGGTCCTTTATTTAAAAAGACTTAAAGGACCCTATATCTCTCTTCCAAGTTTCTGTTTGTATAAGCAGCTATTTGCCTCACCAAAATATTACTTTTCAGTCTCATCTCACTCCAGTTGGAGCCAACAGACTTTCAGTGGTAAATCACTTGAGTTGGTTCATGAGAGGACTTGTACCATTTCATCTACATACAACCATGCATCTTGTTCGGGGGTCTCGTAATTCATTGTTACATATGTTATATGTAACAAAATTCATTGTTATGGTATGCATAAACTCTACATGTAAATTCATGAGCAATTTTTTGAGCAAAATATTGACAACATTAAAAAAGAGCAAAAAATTGACAACATAAGCTTCCTTCTTGAAAATGCTTCCTGTAGAATACAAGCTAATATAATTGGTGATTATAAAAAATATTATTGCTAATTTCAGCTACAGGAGACTAGTGGGCTCTTCAGAATAATTTCTGACGTCGCACTGATAATTTCACTCAGATCAAAGAAACTATTTTTAAAAAATAAATGTCTCATCTCAATCCCGTACCAAACGAAACCTTAAAAGCTTTGTATTGGCTTTAACAGAGAAGTTGCTGCTGCTACTTTGAAAACGTTTGAGTAGTAAGATCCTGCAAATTTTTAATATAAATATACCAGTTGTAATGCAATTAACTGCAAATTGGAGATAGGAGAAGATTTGAGGAATGATTTCTGTATTTGATTACTCATTAGCAATTTGAAGGCGTAACTGCTCTGAAACATGCTGTCTTCTTAATTTTATTATGAAGCTTAGCTCTACTTATAAATGTGAAGAATTAGATTTATTCTGCAATTTATTTGCTTATACTGAATGTATGAAGTTGTTTTTCTTTCTGTGCTTCACAGATCCTACTAAGAGCAGCTAAAACAGTGACTTGACAGGTTTACACTTGCCACACGACGAACACGACTCCAAATCAATCTTTTTAGGGGTCCACAAAACAAGCAGAAGAAGAAGGAAAGACAAACAAACAAGCAAGCAAGCACACTGAGAGTGGACATTTCATTGCACACTATTTTAAAATGCAATAAAACAACAGCAACGAAACCAACTAAACCAAGAACCCTGTCAGCGTTGGCATATATGCCACATACAACATAATTTCTACTTGGGTAAGTGAGGTGAACCCTCCCACTGGAGTTGTTTGTAAACTCTGCACCCTAAAGCAGGGCATCTATTAGGTGCATTATACAGTCAGGTTTTCAAATTTTGGCCTCCTTGGAGAAAAAAAAAAAGCAAGGAGCCGTTTGCAAATATGTCTTCCTACATTTTTACAGCTTTGCTCGTCAATTATTTCACGGTAACTGGCAACGACTCACTATAACATAAGCTGGGTTGCCTCACATTAACTTTGTGTAAAAGGAGGCATTACTGCATTTCAGTAGACTGTTTTAAACTGCATTATCAAACATCAGGCAGGACATTCTTTATTTCTGTTGTCATATTTTAGTCACTGGGATTTAAAGAAAAATGCAGTTTTCCCATGACGCACACCACCAACGTCCCAGCCCCGAAATATAAGAAACAAAAGCCAAAACCACCTGTGGACCTTGCCCAGCCCCGTGAATCCCCCAGCCGTGACACAGAGAGGGAAAGAAAGCCGAAAAGCACCGCTACTCGACGTTGTCAACAAACAGAACATGATAGAATACACAATAAAATGCTTCATACCTGGAGTTGAAAAAACGAAAAGGGTTAACAGCTGACCTGGCACAGCCCCACATGCTCTCTCTGGAAATTGAACACAGACAATTAGGAATTTTAAGTTACCCCAAACAACTGCAGGGGACTCAGACAAGCTTGAGGAACACTTACTGCAAGGTAAGCCCATAGCCTCAGCGCGGAAGGGACTTTAGGATTTTCCCATTTGCTTAAAACTCCTCCTTAAACCAAAATTGCTCTGTGGAGGTCCCAATCACTGCTAAGTAAAACATTAGGGAGCTCTACATGGGAGCAGAGTCAAAGCTTAAGGACCCAGGTATCACTTAATGGTAATTCTGGAAAACGGTGGATCTTATTTTAATATTATCTTCTTAAAAAATCATCAGTGACCAAGATGAAAACGTAAACAAGACTCTAGAGCCGGCAGACATTGCACAAAGAGGAAACAGAGGCTGGAGTGAACGTCTGCTCCCCAAACTTTGCTGCTTAAGGAATATTACTCCAAACACATCACTGAAAAACATAGCCTTTAATGCTTTTTACCTAAAATTGAGACTCCAGGGAAACCAGATAATCTTCTAGAACAGTATCTGGAATATTGAACAACACAAATACACGATGTCATAGCTGTATAAACGCATACGTTGGGATTTGGACGAGGTGGAAGGCTCCTTTTCACTGACAAATTTGGAGCATGTGCTCCAAGAAGCAGCATCATACAGCTGGCTTTTGGAAACAGAAAAACCTGTAGAAAGCCAAGTCCATGAATAACCCCCTTCAGCCCTTCTCTCCGTGGTTTAGACCTCAAATGTACCATGAAATTACACCGAGGCCAACGCCCAAGCATCTCGCAAAAATATTAGCATAGTAACATGAATCATGCAAATGTCCTAGGCACACCAGCAGTCCAACGCATTTGCACTGGAAACATTTTGGAACCTTTATAATGCTCAATTAATATGGCCAGGTTGGCACAGTAACTGTTGAAAGTGAAAAGGAAAATTTCAAAGCAACTTCTCTTGATTTATAGAATTGCACTGGACCTTGGACACTTACAAATAATCTATTTTCTTCCTCCAAGATTTCGCACTGCATCTTTCAAACCTCTCACTTGCTCAAGCGTAAATATTGGTCTTCTTTACTATTTGCTTGATTTTCCCACTTGTTAAATGATAAATTTCTGTCAATAGCAGAATCTACTATCAAGATGACAAAATAATGTGAAGAATTTTCACGGCAAAGTCTAAGTTACTATCTCTACCACAGCCTGAAGCAGGCTTTTTCCACCCTTCTTTTCCACATTTTGTGTAGGGCTTCTTCCTTCTTCAGGACCATATCCTCAGGTACCTGTCCCATGCTATCACTACGTACAGATTTTATTTCACGGTTGCATCAGTACCTAACCAAGGTGCACTGGGAGAAAGTCTCTCCTACTCCATTAGCCCTCAACTCCAACTGGAAAAATGGCAACTGGAAACCTAACATTGACTGTCCTCTCCTATGTAAATTAATTTGTAATAATCTCTGCCTCTTATTGCAAAAATACTTATTCCTAAAACTGATATGAACAGCAATACATTACCCAGAAGTCATGACTCTAAATTGTGTGGTTTTTTCATAAAGATCCCTTTTTAACAACTGAGCAATAGGGCAGGCAAAATACATTTGGTGCGGATGGTAAGTATTTGCATGCTGATTTTTTGCCAGTGGGAAATTCAGCAGACAATGAAAACTCTGGTTAGAACCTACAGTATCCAGGCACTGAAGCAAAAGACACCCAGACATCCTCCAATCCACCTCACAGCACCCAAAACTTATGATGTTCCTCTCTGCTTGGCCTGAAAGCCAAATGGCTGTGGTCTTCCACCCAGCCTCTGCTCTGATCCCAAAACCGTGGCGAGAAATAAGACTCTCTTCACTGTGAGGGTGGGGAGACCCTGGCACAGGTTGCCCAGGGAAGTTGTGGATGCCTCCTCCCTGGAAGTGTTCAAGGCCAGGTTGGACAGGGCTTTGGGGAACCTGGTCTGGTGAGAGGTGTCCCTGCCCATGTCAGGGGGGTTGGACTGGATGAGCTTTAGAGTCCCTTCCAACCCAAACCATGCTGTGATTCTACGATTCTAAATGCCCAACCCTTGCCTCTGCGGCTTGAACCTTACCTGTTCTATGAAAATGGCTAAAACACATTGTACAACACAGATTCAGAATAAAAGGGATCTGTAACAGCCACTTCCCAATCCCAAACACAAGCATAGGAGGAAAAAGAAGAGGAAAAGGACGTTGTAGGACCACTCATGGATATCTTTTGCATCCTGGCCTTGTGCTGGCAAACGTAGGTATCTGGTTTCCTGAGGCAGTGCTCTAACCACTGGGTTTTTATGCTAGACGTGGGTGGCTGCAACACTGCTGCCGCTGGCCATCACGTTTTCAAACACAGTGAAGGCTGACAGGAAGAGGAGGTAGAAATAGGTAAGCTCAGAACAAAGTATTTGATCTCTTATTTTCCACAATGTGAAGCTAAGAGTGTAAGCTGGTGGTTTTTGTTTTGGGTTTTTTTTAAACTAAATTTTAATGCATAACTACAGGTCAGAAGCCCAAGCTCCAAAGAGAGCAGAGCTGACCCATAGCCATGTTCCCAGCAGGTGAGTGAAGCCCGCTCTAGGAAGCTGCTTGCTCTGCCTGGTAAACTTCAGAGCACTTAACTCTGTGCTGGCTGTATTTTGGGAGTGTTGGTGCCTTGTGAAGGTGCTCTGAAACACTGCTGGAGCCAATCACCAATTTTATAACCTCACACCGCCATCAGTCCCCCAACCCCCCCAATCAGGCAATCTGCACCTCAAGTGCCCATGTTGTTACGGCCCATCTTGGTTTTGGGTACCTGCACGATTTCATACAGGTTGTGAGCATGTGGGGACAGCAGTACCTCTGTGCAGTGCAGGGTATTGACAAGAAAATGCCTGTTACACAACTGCGTGTACTTTGCAGTTCCTCTCAAGCAAAAGGGAAAACACATTTTATATTGACAATGCCTGAGTAGTGGCTAAGAATCTCAGAAATGATGTGGTGATACGGACAGCAAGTAGCTTGAAAGTGGAAATATTGAGTGCAAAGGGAATCAACCTGTTCAGCTGGGTAAGTAATTTTCAGCAAAGAATTTACTACACAACATTATCCTGTTACTCTGCTTTTGAAACTTTTATGCCTGAGATTTTGGTGGTTATTCCAGTTTCTTCTGTGAACTTACTTATAAATGGATTGACTCTTTGGCCCTGATGAGCAACTGATCACAGAGACAGCAATGGCCAACAGTTTTTAAAAGAAACCTCACAGTGACTCCTATGTGAAGCTATCTCTCTGTCTGACAGCACTGTGTGTCCCCAATTTATCACGCAGTATCCCAGCCCTATGCTAAATATCATACTTTAAATGCAAATAATTGAGGGAGATATTTTGATGAGACTGATTCTCCTGCTGACTTTTTAACAAGTACATAAACACAAGTATTTCCTCTTGTGCCTGCTGGCAGCTTCTGGTCATTTCCAGGTTATTTCATTTTTCAGGCTCTGTTCACAACGCCGGAGATTTTGGCCAGCAGCAGATAGTGCAGGCACGCCTCAGGATGAGCACTTTTTACGGCAGCCTCTGACCTCGGTACCTGCCAGCCTGCTCCACACCATCTGAGCTTA